CCCAATAAAAATCTTAAAAAAAAATAAAGGAAATAGAATCTCAGATGACAAATGCTGATGGAATCTTGTGGGAACCTTTTGTCTGACCTTTTCAGGCTGTGACGGGACTGTGTCTAAGGTGTGTTTTTGCCTTTGCTTTGCGGGCAGGATCGTGACAGGCTTAGCAGCTCCCTTAGAAACCCGCAGAGACCCCCAAGGCACTGCTTTCCTCCCTCCACCTTACCCACCACGTGGTTTTAGTCGTGTTGGAAAGGGGGCCTTGCTTCTCGGTGGTCCTGTGTTCAGCAGATGGTTTTGTTCACCCCCGTGAACCACAACGATGTGTCCTCATGCTCAGCCTGTGGCTGAATGACCCCTCACTACTTGGAAAAGAACCACGTCCTTTTCATTAGGCTGAACTTTCCCCAGAGATGGGCTTTCAGGGGCAGTTAGGACAGGCAGGTAACGGGGCCCCTGCAAGCTGGTAACGTTAGTAAGCTGTCTCATCTGTGGAGTGGAGGGCGTAATACCTAGCAGGAACTTGACAGGTACGAGTTGCCTTCCTTCCACTCCCCCATGGATGGCAGCTGGCATTAGAACCCATGCTTCTCCCTCCACTGCTGCCCGTAGGTCCTGTCCATCACACCAGAGCCCGAAGCCCTTCCTGGCTCTGACCTGGAACCTTGGGGGAGGAGCGTCTGCCTAGGAGCCGAATCTGTAGGAAAGTCTCTTTTCCTCACTGTAGCCTTACAGCGAGGAGGTTCCCCTGGACAGTCTGAGCCCGGGGTGCAGTGAGTGTGGGCTGCTGTGCCCTGAGCTGGTGGGTCCAGCGCCGCTGAGAGGCAAGGAAACCCTTCTGTTCACAGCCGGCCTCCTCCCTTCTTAAGTAAGCCCCACTGCCTTTGTCTCTGCCCTTCCCAGAGCTGAGGCCTGCTAGGTCTAAGCAGTGTCATTAGGGCAAAGCTTGAGTCTCAGGAGCTGACCTTGTGTGCTTTCCAATTGCCTGGCAGTAAAAACTAATTAGGAAGGCCTATCAGCTAT